GGTAAATGAACCGGCTTTGAGATGATATCAATATGTGAGGAAGCGTGGTGGAATCAAGCTCTCGTCAAAATAATCAAAGTGAAGAAACATGCATTTTTCTGCAGGTTGGTGAATTTTTTTCAAATTTTTGTTTTTAGTCTCAACACCTTTCATACCCATTAAAAAACTCATTTCTGTGTGGATTTTTCTATTAAAAAAACGTTGATTAAAGGCACAAAAAAAATGTAACTTTTCAGTTACCACAGACTCTTAAGCTAAGGAAATAACTCATCATTTGAGGCCATTTCCTCACTAATTTTAGCTCTGAAAGCAAGCGACCCCCACCTACTTCTTTTGCAAATATCTCGACTTGTATTTAAGATACATGGATATTTTTTTCATCCAAGTAAAGACAATTGGATAAGCTTTAAGATGATACAATAACTCTAAATGCCCAAAAATTGACGAGAGCCTGATTCCACCACGCTGCCTCACATATACCCATTATGCTAAAAAATTGAGGAGCGCCTGATTCCACCGCGTCGTGACGCAAATGAGAAAGGTGCACCATTGCGAAAGTGGAATGTACTCAGTTGCTCGAAAACGATAATTTGAGCATATGTGGCCTAAATAAAGTTCCGAGGGGGAGAGGGGACGGGCGTATTCTGGTCATATGTTAAAAGCTCAGCACTGGCTTCGAGCTGAAAATAGAATCTAATATAAAGTTCTACAAACTAGTATAGATGAGCCAAGCTCAAAAGGAGACAAAATGTTTCCATTTTTTAGAATGGCTTATTCAGCACCAACATTGCTTCTATTTAAAAGAGAAATGAGTGCTCCACCAGAACTGAGAAGTTTTGGGATCGTTTTTATTCACCTTTCGCGAGAAAACAACCAAATGCGTGCCTATGTAGACGGTGTCTCGTGTGACAGGTGACACAATAGTTTCCTTCCAAAAGAAAATTTGAGCATGCACACAGAGGTTTTTCTTGCATGAGATTATTGATTATTTTCTTTTATGTATAATCAACGAACAAATGCCAAGTTGACTGAAAACTTAACAATATAATTGGGTTTGGGTGTGCATATTCGTGGTCATCAGTCACACGAGACACCGTATAGATTTCGTCAATATTGCTATCCGTTCCTACTTTGTCATTCATACTTGATCTGGTCTGTACAAACTTAGGCAAAGGAGCAGTTTGCCCATTCCTATCCCACATCATAATAAACTTGATGATTCTTAACAACGGACACTGGAAGTGTCTCATGTGACACCACTATAATGACAAGCGTAACCACACGAAGAACAACAGCCAATTTGTAAATATAACAACAAAAAAAGAACTTTTTACTAAAGGGAAAAGGAGCAAACAAACATACCAATGACAAACTAGCATTCAATACAGTCACGAAAATAGAACATTGTAGTCGGGGATACGATTTTGTGTGTGTGTGTGTGCCGGAAAGCAGGTGAATACCAGATAGGAAACTAAAGTGTACCGCCTGCATGGTTTAGCATTTGTCAGTGGGGTGGTTTCGATGGCTTGGGCTGCCAAACACGTAGCTCTGCAAAACAAGAATCAGTGAAATGTTATTCACAGGAACCATAGAATGTCCCATTAAAAAAATGAAATAAAAAATAGGGTGACCTTATTTAGGCCACATATGGCCTAAATAAACTAAACCCCCCTCCCTTACCTTATTTGGGCCACAGGTGGCCTA